TTTAGGCATAATGCTAAGGGACGAAACTAGATTATTGTCATAAGGCTGAAAGTTAACTGAAGTTTCCAAGGCTCCAGTAGGAAGGAAAGAAGCACAAATTGGAATCTGAAGACCATATAGGCCATCCTTAAGCATTCCTTGAAGAAGAATTGCTTTGAAAGACTTGTCCTTAACCACACAGTAACCAGAGTAAAATTCAACAAACACTTCATTATCTCTAGTAAATTTAGATATGCTAAGTAGGTTCTTTGTAATTTTAGGCACATAGAGAACATTCCTAAGATGCAAAGTTCTACCAGGGCAAGATAAAATAGAGGAACCAACATGAAAGATTGATAGTAACTCACCGTTACCCACTTGGAGCTGTTCACTTCCTATGTAGCTAGTGCTTGCTATTAATTGTGAGAAATCAGAGGTTACATGGTTTGTTGCTCCAGAGTCCATGTACCATGCAACATCCTAAACAATCGAAGGTGTGGCAACATAGTTGATTGTTGTAGGGGTGTGGTTCTGGTTTTGTGAGTGAGATTGAGCCATGAATGTCTAACTGTGTATGTTTGCAGATGCAGAAGAAGGCTGATTTCCAAGTTGTACAGTTGGTGATCCAGAACCAGAAGCAGTATGTGAGGAATAATCCTTTGAAAATTGTACTGATGGTCTTCAACTCATACCAGCTCTAGAATAATGCACAGATGGTCCAGAGTTAGGGTCTTGTGACATTCCTGAATGTGAGTAGTAAGATGATCCTCCGTGAGTGAAATCACAAGGTCTTGTAAACCCTCCAACTCCTATAAGCTCAGGAGGTCTTGTAAAGCTAGGAATAGGAACATTACTCCTGATCAATGCATTGTTCCTAGTGAAATGGACATCAAATCTGTGATAGCAATTTAGGGCTAAGTGTCATGTCTTCCCACATACTTGGCAAACAAATTTGTTCATACCACCTACCCTGCCTCGGCCTCTTCCTCCAATAAAATTTCCAGTTTGATAAGGATAAAATTGGTTAGGAGAAGTTAAGTACACAAGATAATTTTGACTTGCAGGATAGTTGGATGACCCAAGATTATGTGGTTGTTGTAAAGGTGTTGGTGTTGTATGTGATGGAGACTGAGGTGCACTAGTAAGAAAAGATCCAATTGCATCAGATTATGACTTATTTCTACTAGTGTCAATACTCATATTAGCAACATTGGCAGAGACTCCATGAAATTCAGACTGTATAGTTGAATTTAGTATTGCATTAGCCTTTTCTAACTTGAGTTCCAGTTTTTGCAGAATTATCTAAGCTTTCTAAACTGAAATAGGGTCTAGTCTAGACTCTAATCTAGTAGTAATGTTCTCCACAGCTGCATCATAATCAAAGTCAAGTCCATCTAAGATGTAATTCAACAGTTCTTCATCGGAAATAATGATTCCACTTGAAGACATATTTTCAACAAATCCTTTCATCTTAAGGAAATAATCATGCATGCTTAGATCATTTTTCTTTGTATTTTGCAGTAGACTTTTAATATGTAATGTCTTAGCTCGTGATTCAATGAGAAATTCTTTCTCTAGAGTGAGCCAAATCTCAGTTGAAAATTGACATTTAGAGATTACCGAGAACATTGATTCTGAAATGGATGATAGTAGCCAACTTACTAGAAGTTTGTCTGTCTTCTTCCAAAGGTTATACTCAGGATTAGGTTTCTTGATAACTTCTGAGCTTGAGCTATCTGGTTGGATTCGAACAAATGGTGCTGGGCAAGAAATTAATCTAGTGAGATGATCCTCAAGCTCGTGAGCTCCAACGGCGAACAGTATTTGCGATTTCCAAAATCGGTGATTATCTCTAGTGAGCTTGGGAGATATCACAGGAAGCATGCTTGAAGACATTGTAGATGAGTAAGTGAGATTACTGGAGTCAGAAATATGGTTCTGTCTTGAGTGAGTTGAGTCATTATCCAATTTGTGAGATGAAGGAGAATTTGATGAAAATTCAACCATAGTGGATGTTGGTCAATGGCTCTGATACCAAGGGAAGGTGAGGCTTTCGAAAGAGATGAGAGACAACCAGAAAAAAAAAANTTGGACCTTTTTGGGCAACTTCCTGATCACCTAAGGCCAGAGATTTTTACTCTCCTTAAGTGTAAACTGGAGTCCACCTTTGAAGGGTATGTGGCCACTAGACCTTCCGACCTTCTGGTCATTGCGCTCAAGATGCAAAGCCAAGTAAAGCAAATCTTTTATCTTTATAAACTCTTTAACGATAATTGAGTTCCTTAGTTTTTTTTTAAAAAAAAAAAAAAAAAAAAAAAAAAAAAAACAACCTCTTGAGATCTAACTGTATTTTTTATTGAATGAATGAAGTTAGTTACAAGTCATGTTTATATAGCAGGAATACAATACACATGAGCCTAAGTAGCTCATTAGTAAAGCTAAGGTCACCCGCTAGTCACTAAGTCACTATGCCTTTAGTCAACTGAGAAATTAATCGTAACATCCTCCCTTAAACCAAGTTTCCATAAGCTTGTGACTTAACAATGAATCCTAACATCTTCCCTTAAACCAAGCTTCCATAAGCTTGTGACTTATCAACTAATCCTAATAAATGTAGTCTGTTAATTGGGTGAATCGGGGTAAATCACCCGTTTTCTTCTTTCTCTTTATTGTTTGTGTTTGCGTGTTTTATGTTTATTTTGTTTTTCGTATATCTTTTTTCCATTCAATCTTAAGCAAAAGAACTTTGATGATGTTCAATCAGCTTACGCGGGCTTGATATGCAAAAACCTCTTAAAAAAACAAAAATTGAGGCCGCTCGTTTATAAATTATGTGTTTTCATTTTGCCTTTTTAAATCTTAAAATCATCAAAATTCGCTGTTGGATATGTGTTTACAAAAAATTTCACCCAAAACATAAACAAATCGGATAGGATAAAAAGAGTTACGGGTCCTATATTTTTATAAACAATTAATATGTTGAATAAACAATAATATTTTCTTTTTGTTTTTGATATTTTATTCTCTCTCAAAACAAATTTTTTATTTTAAATCAAAAATTTTAACACAAAATTATAAACGAAATCAACCGTAGATATTTTCTAGACAAGCTTTTCGAGATAAACAAAATAAATAATAATTTAAAAGGTTCTTATCGACTGTGGATGTCGTAAATTTTATTATTATTATTATTTTTTATTTTTTTTTTGTGTGTGTTTTTTGACAAACATATTGAATAAGTTTTTAAATATGTTTTCTGACAAATATGTCCAAACATATCCAAGGCATTTCCATTTTTCACTTTGTTCAATCATTTTCAAAATATCCAGAGAAACACAAAATTCATAAAACAACACAAAATTGCAATCCACCGTTTGCAGCATCCATTGATTAGCTAGTGCCTCTGCTCATTTCAACTCTATATGCCCTTTAGAGGTGTTTAAAATTTATTTCTAAACGCCCAAACCAAATGGATCTAATTTTTTTTTTTTTTTTCTGGGGTTCAGTCAGTTAATTGAAAATAACTGGTACTATTTGATTTCAACCTAACTTAACCAATTACTTAAAGTCAAAGAGAGAACAAATATTTGTTATTTAACCAATTCGTAGGTTAGTAAACGCAAATTTATTGGATCTGATTAGATTTCAATTTATTTAAAATATATTGAATTTGAATTCCATATTGTCGTACAAATATATTAATTGGATTGAAAGTGGACTTGAAATTAGAATGAATTCGATTGAAAATTTTACAATTAATGCAATAATCTAACTGAAAGGATTTGAAAAAATATATAGGTGTCTAACCTACAAATCCCGGCTGTATGAGCAAAATCAAAATTTTCTGACAGTGAGACAATTCAAATTGCATTTAATAAAATGGTTTGATCTTCTGCTGTTTTCTTTGTATTTTTCCAGTAAATAATAATGCGAAATCATTAATTGAGATTGAAAAAACCAGTCAAGAAATTTGTGGAAAGTAGCATTCGTTCATGGTAGTTACTTCAGCTGTGTTTTGGATTAGTGAAGTTAAATTCAATCAGGACCCATGATAATAAATATATTTTCAGTAGTCAATACCCTTTCTTAACTCAATTTTTAAAACTTTTTAGAATTAGATTTTTAGATAATTTAAAAATTAATGCTAAACGAAAATTTTAATACATGTGTTTTGGTTAAAAGGATTTGTATTAACCAAAGTGATATAGGGTTAGGAAACCAGGTAAACAAGAAGTGATGAAGAATAAAAAGGATAATCTTAGAAAGGGTTGATTCTCACGATGTGAAGGTAGAAATTAATTAAGACCCATATTAGCTAATTTGGCTCCAATGGTGATCATATGAGGAGAATCCATACATGCGTGCACCATTAGAAAAGAGCTTATAAATACATGTGGGATGGGCCAAAGCATGTGTGTCCCCTATTATCGAGTACTCTCTTTAAATATGTCAACATCATACTTAATTAATTCAACAACCTATTACCGATCTTCATTTCCCCTAAAACAACCCTTTGAGAAAAGCAATTTCACCAACACAAAATGATGTAATATCTCAGTGATTGCAATCTTATGGTATACTCACGCTATTGAAATTAAATTAAAAATTAATCAAGCTTGCTAGAAATTAAAATGCTTCTACTCCTAGAGAAGCAACAATATCATCTATTCCTCTTGTATTATATTAATTCTTGATTGTTACTTAGTGAAGTCATTAACTCTTATAATCTTTCAATTTTCATATTCATTGAAGAACAACCAAAGACCTATCAAATTAACAACAGAATGGAAAGTTACGTAACTGCGAAGTCTAAATTAATGGCAAATAGTTATTAAACATGTATACATAAAACCAGCAACGTATTAATAAATGCACCCAACTACTGAAATTAAATCTGCACAGTGTTGTAAATGACAATCTTATATATTAAATATAAAAATAATATATATCACTTTCAGAACAGTAACATGCGAAATTAAATAAAAACCCCTTGCCTCTCCACCATTATTATACACCACAGAGAGCCCATTTCCCCCTCTCATCCATCACCCACGTGTGAACTCAACTCTCACATGTGCCACCATCAAACTAAGCTTTTTGAATGATCCACGTTCTTGGAGATGTCTTCATTCCAGATCTCTGTGAAAGCTCGAACAATAACATCACGGTGGATTGGAGAATTCAGCCGCAAGAAGCAATTCAGAAGCTCTTGAAGATCATCTTTGTTGTAGATTTCTTTCTCAATTATCATCTGCAACATCGAATGCCGAAAATCTTGATACGGGTCGTTTGATTCCTTCACAACTGCAATGCTGTCAACGATTTTAGGGCCTGGGCTGGGGAGCTTCGAGGGTTTTGTTGGGTCGGTTTCGGATTCAGAGTTTTGTGTGGAAGTGGAAGTGCCAACGTTGAAGGAGAATGTAGGGGAAGAGAAGTCTTCATTGTCCACTAAGGTTGACGATGATTTGCCATTGGTTTTCCCACAAGAACTCGAAGAATAACAAGGGTTTGAAATATTATGGGATATTAAGGTCTTTTTGAGTCGTGGCTTTGGTTCATACACATCTGAGGGTTTCATCTTGCCACATCCACAGCCTGCATTGGCTGAGAACATCGTTTTGAGCATATTTTTCTTGTTGCTTGTAGACATTGGAGGAAGAAAACTAAAAGAGGGAGAAGAAAAGAGAGATTTATTTGTTGGAAAGGTGTAATTGAAAGAGTTTTATTTTTGTTATTATGATTTATTATTTTTTTCAAATTTCTCTGAAACAAGGGATAGATTTTTTGCTATTTAATTTGGTATGAGTCGTTTTCAATAATCATAAAAAAGCTGAGAGATTTGAATGAGATGGCGTTTCTGGGTAAGAGTCATTTTCTCTCATGTTGTTGAAGGGGAAATTTTTTTTTGTTTGTGGCGGATTTTAAGGTCTGAGTATTTGGGAAGTACCTTATCTATTTAATTTAAAATGATATATATATAATTCAAACCATTTATCTGTTCATTATAATGGATTACAAAGTTAATGAGTTTACTGATTGACTTTAAAATTTTAAATTATTGATTGAAACCCTTATCCAAAAAAAAAAAAAAAAAAAAAAATTTGAATTTTGTGTATTTTTTTTTTAATAACATACTTTTGATTTAAGTAGAAAATCCATTAACTTAACCTTTTAAAAATAATTTCTGAATAATTTATTGCAGCAATGTGGTTAATAAGTAAAGCATTGTCTTCATCTTTATTCGTTTTCTTAACAGGGATTTTGTTGAAAGCCAGATTCAATTTAAATTATATTTACTTTTTGTCTTGAATATTAATATCTAATTCTCCTGAATATATTTATTTAATAACACTATGTTAATTAAGAGAATTTAAGAAAGGAAAATCAAATAGCTAGACTTTATAATTTATTTTCTTTTTTAATAAAAAATAAATGTTAATTAAAGAAAGATAAATATCATAATAATCACCATATGACTTCCATTAATCTTATTTTCCTTATAATTGGATAAACTCAACGCAGTTTCTTCGAGAAATGACATTGTCAATCAGAACGTCATCTTAAATTAATTTAAACATCAAACAATTGATTATTAGCATACACGGCAAATCAATCTTCCTGGAATAGAATAAATTTAATTAAAATGGCATAAAAAAAATTAATAGAATAACATTATGATTTTTCATTTCTCAATTATTTGCTGCCACCGCAAATTTATTCTCCATATATTATCAGAGGCAAAATGATTTTCAATGGTACTCATAAAATATTAAGGATGAGGTTGAAATAAATTTTGTAATCAATGATCTTTTAATTCTCAAAATTTGAAAGGCAATCTGTGTTGACTTTAATCCAAGTTGGATAGGTTTTATTTAGTTGAGTACATATCATGAGTAAACGACTTTTTCCCACCCAAGGTTTGCCTTAATAACACTTTCCCATCTAAAAGGTTTCAAAATACCACTTTTTCACCCATAGTTAATATTCTGTTTTTATCCAAAACCGATTCTAATGGCAAAAATTATCTCCATCACCACCATTGAACCTCTCGTTTCCTCTCTATAAAACCTCTCTCACTCCAACACTTGATTTCTTATCGATTACCGGTCACTGTAAAGCTAAGGTTTCATGTTCTTAATTAGTTGATTTCTAGCTGATTTCGACAGAGAATATTTAATCAGTCACCACCATTTAATCGACCGGCTTCTACTCTATAAAACTCCTCTTACCGTAATACCTGGTAACTCGCCGAAGGTCAGCTGAGAAAGTGAAATGTATTTTGGGTATTAACGAAATATAAACTTTTGGTGAAAAGGTCTATTTTGAAACTTTTTTGGGTGGGAAAGGTTATTAAGGCACAGCTTGGGTGGGAAAAATTGTTTATTCTAGATCTCATTCATTCTGAGTATTTAATATGTGTCACACATGCATATTAATTTAGGAGGAGTTGTTAAACAACTTTATTTACATATTTAATACCATCCACATTATCGCATTTTGTACTTCCATTCACTTCTAACACAATTCTTGGATTCACTGGATTTTTTCCTTTTCTTTTCTTTATTATGATTTTCCTTTTACATATATTTCATTTTCAATCAGGATTCTTCCTCTTTTTTTTTTATATTTTAAATTCATTTTTCATTATAATGGTCAATAATTTTTTTTTTTTTTTTTTTATAATAATGCACATTTCAGAAGTTTTTAAGTGAGATGGAGATGGAATTTGAACTACACAATAGTGAATTATTCTACCAAAATATATATAAAAAAATATAAGAAATTTATGAAGCATGCATGTATTTATATGATAATAAGTAAGAAAAATAATGGGGAAATTATTAGTAAGGAATAAACATTAATTATTAGTGAACAATCTGTGACTAGCAGCAACACTGTAAGAAGCAGCCATATCCGAAGAAAGGCCTGAGTTAAAAACTCGTCTTCTTAATACAAATATATACCAAAAGGAAAAAAAAAAATCATCTGGGACTAGCTAGTTTGAATAATTAATCAAATCGACTGGCATTAATTGCTCCCATTGCCCTATCAAACGCACGAGTAATCTTCAATACAAAACGCCGGTTGAAGAAATTAATACAAGCTTTCATGGGAGCGTTCAACTCATCCCATGCACGGCGCCATGAGGAAGAAGTAGCAGTTAATAATTTAGGCATTGGCTGCAAATAAGCCCATGCTGCCTTCTTAACAAGAAGATTAGAAACAGAAATATCATCAACACATTGAACACCAAAACTACCTTCTGAATAACAACTTTTAGGGCTTCCACTTCGAGTAGTTGATGGGATTAAATCTTTCAGTGAAGTATACGCGACTGCTTCAGAATTGATCGGTTCATAACATGCATCCTCAAGTGAAGTTGTCGGGAAGCTTCTGCTTCTACATTTGGTAATGAATGAAAATTTCTTGAAGTGAAGATCCTTGCAGGGTGAAGAAGAGAGGTGGGAAGCCATTGCATGCAGTGAAGGAAGGTTGGTTTTGTGATTGAGTTTTTGTTTAATTTTGAATTAGTATATTTAAAAAGATTTTTATGGATAAACCTAACGGTTTAATCAAATTTAGTTGATATCTAAATATTGTAGTTAAAATAAAGGGACACTGTAACAAATAAATATATATCATCAATTTGAGAAATTGTTGTTTTTTTTTTATGTAAATTTTAGTGATTTTTTAATCTCTTTAAAGATAAGGTTTTGAATTTGATTCATGCAAAACAAAATCTCTACCAAAAAATTACTAAAATTAGCAAAAGACTAACAAAATAGGATGAAAAATTATTTAAAATTTTAATCAAAACATATCATTAGTGATTATAATTACATAACAATTAATTGGAGAAATGAAAATACAAAATAGCAAATATCAGGTGGAACTCTTCCACAAATTTTCATATTTTATATTTTAGGAAAATTAAATTAATATTTAATAGCAATAGATAGAGAATGAATTTTGCTACATATGCTATTCTTACTATTTAAATACACTTGTTTTATATTAAATAAGAACTAACTCAATCTATTTTCCACATCCCTTACAAATAAATAAATAAAAACAGACCTCTTTCGCGACAAGTGAGATTTGAGGAATGATAGAATAATGACATCTGAATTAGTTTTGCAATAAAAATAGCTCTAAATAAAACCCAAATTTACATCTTTTTTATTTGTTTAATTTGCTTTTATTGAAAATCAACTATGGTTTAATATATAAGAAGCTTTTTTTTCAATTTTTATTTTTATAAAACTATGCATTTTAATAGACTCGTTCTATGCCTTTAGACAACTTATAATTTATTTTTTATTAATAGACTCATTAGCAAACATGTTAGTAAAAGAAATAGTTTATTTCTTGAAAATACAAGGATATTTAAACTAATTATTTTCAACACATAATTTATTATTCTTAAATTATTGATATTCAAATTTATTCATTTTTTTTCATTTAGACAAAAGAAAAGTGAGCCTTTTGAACTCTGAAAGGCGGTCATGGGTAAAGGTCTTCTTGAGCTCTACTTGGCCCGCTTCTTTACCATAAATTTTAGGGGAAGAGACCATTGCACAATTACCAGAATAACCTTACCCACAATGATGACCATTTTGTTTGGCTGTATATCAAGTTATAAACCGCCCATATTCTATGCCAACTTGGAGATTTCTAGCTAGGAAATGCCAAATACCACACTATTTATGTATCATAAATTTTATTTTATTAATATAACTAAATATTAATTTATTCATGATATATAAATAATATGATTAATTTGATAAATAATAAATATTTTGAATATTTCGATTCACATTCAAATACAAGAGTTGGGTGGATGATTGATTGCAAAAATAAACGTAATTAACTATTTTTAAGTGGTTGAGCAGTTCGATAGAGATTTTTGAGTTTATTAATCAAGATGTATTGAGTTCAAGTTTTTCCTCAATTGTTAATAGAGGTAACAATTAGAGTTTTTATCCGATCAATAGTTTTAGAGTCTCGAAGAATTAGTTTAAATATGCATAAATTAATTCGAACACTCCTAAACATTAATTAAAAAAAACCGTGGCGTCATATCTTCTCATGTTGTGACTTGTGAGAAGTTTATTATTAATATTAGTAATAAGTTGCGAATTGAAATGGGAGGGCAAAAGTGACTTTTCATTTGGTTTTCAGAAGGTTTTAAGACCGTTGAGCGAGAATTGAGATAAAACTGGGCTTTTGTGTCTTTCTTAGCTTTTATAAGAAGTTGAAGTAATGGGTGAAGAATAGATACAAAATTAATTGGTTTCCTAAAAATGGCAACATCTCTGCTAATTCCTTCTCTCTCCTCCGCCTCTTTCTTTCATAAAACCAACTCCAAATTCTACGCCTTTACTTCTAAACCGATCTTCAAAACCTTCAGAATCAGAGCCATCCAACAAAAAACTGAAGAATTAGAACAACCACCTTCCTCTTCTACTTCTGCTGAGGAAATTACTAAGAAGTATGGCCTTGAAGCTGGTATTTGGCAGGTACCCTTTTCTTACTTTTCTTCAATAACTATTTTTTGCTTGATTAATTGTGGAAAAAGTAGCTAAATTAGAGGAGAGGGATGCAGTGATTTTTAATTTGTCTTGATTAGATTGGGAAGACAGAAAGAAAAACAAAGTCTTTGAATTTCTCCATGTTTTTGCGAACCAAATGAACCTGAAGTGGGAATTGATAACTTTTTTCATTATGTAGTTGTAGCCCATAGGATGGAATTGTGAATTATGGTGAGAGATAAAATTATCTATAACATGAAAAATGTTATGATGGAAATACAATAAAGGCTGCAGGGTGATTGAAGCGTCCCTTTTCTATCGCAATAAATTAAGCTCAAAGAGATTTAGAGTTCAATTCATTGTGCATACCGGTTTGCATTCACCTATTAAAGATAGAATAGGGAATTCAAATGCCATGAATGATTTTTGCCTTTGCAAACATAATCAACAAATACTTTTTTCATGTTTTCTATATCGCCATTGTTTTAGAGACTAAAAAAAGAGATGGTGAAATGAAGGACTAATTTGTTTCTGCAGCTGTGTTTTGTATCTCCTGGTTTTTAAAACTTAACTCCTTGTGTTTTTTTTTAATATATTTCTGAAGATATTCAGCTCAAAGGAGGAAGGAAAGGTGGAAGGCGAGGAGAAGAAATCAAAGGGGGATCAAGCAAAGGAACTGCTAGCCAAATATGGAGGAGCATACCTAGCCACCTCTATCACTCTCTCTTTGATCTCCTTCTCACTCTGCTATGCTCTAATTGCTGCAGGAATTGATGTTCAAGCTTTGCTACAAAAGGTAAAACTATTTAAGAATGCTTCATGTGTTGTGCAAACTTCAGTTTGAGAGAAAATTTTCATGTTGTAGGTGGGAATATCAACTGATGCAACCGGGCAAAAAGTGGGGACATTTGCTTTGGCGTATGCTGCACACAAGGCTGCATCTCCAATAAGGTTTCCTCCAACAGTAGCACTCACTCCAATTGTTGCTAGTTGGATTGGAAAGAAAGTTGAAAAGGATAAATAGCTTGCTTATATCCCACCATGCTTAACATGTATTATACATCTTTTGTTCATTCTTTACCCTTCCTTTTCTTCCATTTACTCTCTCTGGTATTTCTTCCATATTAATGAAAATTTTGTTTAAATAATACTACGGGAATGGTAATGATCTTAGTTTTTTTTTCTTTTTCTAATTTTAAAATTAAAACATTAGCTTGAAAGAAATAGATGTACGCAAAATGCAGAGACTGGGTGTCTGTGCTCTAAGAATTGAAATAATAATGTCCAACGTTCGAGGTTCATTTGAAGAGTATTGAATACCCTTTAACAAACAGCATTTTCAGAGCGATGTGGTAACATTTCTTAGATATTGTAATTTGTAAAAGGCTGTAACCTTCTCAGAAACGAAGTTGTTATGCATCACAGTAATCACAACTAATTGCAGAAACTATGACACTTAAAGAGTATATCAATTTTTCCATGATATGATGAAAGCAAAATAATAGTTTCTGATCATTTATTCAAGTCATGGTCAGATTAAGTTTTGCCGTTACATGACACTAAATAATTCTATCCATTACTTCCCAGTCAGCCTAATCACATGTGCTAGTCGATACAACAAACCAAAGGGATGCAATAATTTACAGGGCTTGGACTAAAACATTAAAAAACTTTACTTACTACAACATCACATTGGATCATTCGTATCAGTCAATAGTATAACACCCCTACACCCCTTCCTATTCTTTACAGCCTCAGATTTCAAGTAACATCAGGCAACTCCCAGAACCTTGAGTCAGAAACTCCGGCAAGGTTCTAGATAAAAACATGTCCATTTTTACCTGTACTTCTGATTTATCAACATATCCGATTCACCTCCCAAGATTAGCAGTAGATGACAGCTCTGTTGGGTTGGATGGTGGAGTTTGGGCCCGTGGCGTGCTAACACTAGCCATGGTATAATCATCGTGAAGATTACCCAACTCATTCCATTCAACAGCAGCTATTTGTTGGGAGTCAAGGAATTCTGTATGTAAGCTCAAAAATAAGCGGCGAAGAGAAAAATAAGAAATAAAGATTGAAATATCTAAACGGAAAGGATACGTTCAGTCCGCCATATGTCTGTGATGCTAACTCCAGCATCTGATAAAAGCCAGTAATCTGCATCACTCTAAAAGGAAATGGGAAACAATCAAATTGCGATAAGTAGAACTCCTTTCTACATGACAGACCTTAAAAAACTTAAATTTCCAACACAACTGCATCAACTATTTGTTAATGAGAGATTCTGTTTCAAAAGTGAATCTTTTTCCATTTTTCTTTTCTTAGAGAGATTTGAACCTGGACCAGCCCAACACCTACTCAGTCACTCTATCAACTACTTGAATAAAGCCCTAGGCATTCAAGTACATCATTTTCCATTTACAAAACCCTCCTATTCTTTACACATAATAACAAGCAACACACATGTTTCAGACATCTGGAAAAACAAAGCTCATCCTTGTGCTTTGAAGAAAAACTTTTTTGTAACTGAACAAAAGATATTTTACTGAAGCAATGATATTTCACCCAAAAGAACACAAAAACTTACATCAATTTCTGACGGAACAATCTTCATGATACCACTCACAAAGTCCTGTGAGGCGTTAAGATCTGTGCACTCTTTATGAGCATCTTGTCCCTGCATTTCAATCTCCTTCCCTCTGCTCTCCTGTGTGATCATTGTTGATGCAGGGTTCTCGATAAAGCCTGAACTTGATGGCAAGTTTGAAGTTGCCTCAGCACCATGTATCTCCTCAAATTTCTCTTCAAATTGACTAGAATGACAAGAGGTGACAGAAAAAGAGAGGCATAAGGATATCGGTTAAGAGGTTAATGATATATTAACCATCAAGAACAAATGGTACCTAACAAGGTAAACATCTATAGGACCCATTGTGCTTCTGAGAACTATTCTGTATCTTCTCTGGGGATAGTCAACAGCCTGGTACAGAAAGGAAAGGCCGCAATGAGGAATACACATTTACAAACACACCAGCAAACGTTTTCACAGACTTGCATGCTTTATTGGATTTACCTCATCAGGATCAGGGACTTCCAGAGTAGTGCCATGGGGAGCTTTAATAGCTATCAAGGTTTCGTTCTACAAGAAGCAATAATAACTATTTACTCATTTAACTATAAGCGGAGAAACCATCTCAGGAATATAGTGAAAATACAGCCACTCTAAATCATCAATAGAAGCACAGAAAAGAAAAAAGAGTAACCTGGAAGCAGGGTAAGTTCTTGATATCATCTTCTGTGACAAAAAGCCACCTGAGATCATACAAAAGTTAATTCAATGGTCTATCATTTAAAATACCTGAAAATTACAAATTACGATACTTTGGCATGAATTGAGAAGACACTTACTTTTGATTATTTTCATCTTCACTAAGGTCCCTCAATCTTTCTTGCATTTCTCTGCAATAATTTGGAGATGTCAGCACACGCCAAAGGTTGCTAAAAAACAAATGTAATAGAGAAGCAATATCACTGGCTTAACTACAGAACCTTATTTGATCATCTAATCGGCGCTCCTCAATGGCAAGGCTTTCAACTTCAGCCTGCAGGAGGAGAAATTTTTTTATTAAGCCAAATCCTGTAATTTCCTGCAATACTGGGTACTACAGGTTTGGCTAATGAGCCACAAAAGTGGTGTACATTTCAAAATTTTCAAAATCATACGCATAGTGGAGAAGGCAAAAAAGAAAAAAAAGAAAAAGAAAGAAACACAATCTATTGCAACTCATTTAAGTCTTATACTAACAACTTGAGGTTGAATGTAAAAGACGTAAAAGACCTACATAGCACTCTGCTCATCTTCATTATACAACAAGTGACAGAAAATGGTAAGTTCAAAGGATGACCTTAAAGGACAGATCAAGGTGATCGCAAATAAAACAGAACCTACTACAGAAGATAGATTGATTTTTGGCATATGGACCAAGTTCTTGTTGCCTATCCTAACTAGGTAGCATAAGGGGTACTATCAAGTTTATGTTTCCACGTCACTTTTTTTGCAAGAGATTGATGAAGTTTGAAAAGTTAAGGTGCTATTTGATAAATTAGAAAAGCTCAAACTGAAAACTAGAAATTTAGTACTGAAATTATTTTCAGCTAAATTGCTAGAACGTATTCTAAGTCTTCTGATTTAAATTATGAAAACTAATCATCTAAACTTATAATTTTTTGTAAAAAAAAAAGATGTTGCATGTGCAATGGGTTTAATGGTGGTAATAGTTGTGGGCTCAAAGCAATGGTGGTTTTCTTGATAACAGTGGTGGCTGTTTGCTGACAGCAATATTAGTAATGAAGAGATTGTGGACAAGTTGTGGTAGTAATAATGAGAACGACATTAATATGGTTATGGTGCTGGTATACTGCAGTGATATTGCTACTGGTAATGATATAGAGGTGCATGACGTTTTATGATGGTAGATGTGAGTTTTATGTTGATCATAATGGAAATCATATCTAATCAATTTTAAATAGAAATTGTTTATAGTAAGTTCATATTAAAACCAGTTAAAATGATGAAGGGCTGAATGCCGTTATCAAACATACACTAAGTTCATGTTAAAACCAGTTAAATGATGAAGGGCTGATCCAGTTTTAAGGGTAGAATGCAGTTATCAAACAAACACCAAGACATCAGAGAGAGCTCAAGTCAAGATGCAATTTGCCAATCACCTGTAAACTCGAAGCATTTTCATCAGCCTCCCCTGGCCTTGAGACATCGAGTCCCCTAGAATCAATGAAAGTGTAAGTCAATGCAGATCAGAATCAAAAACTATTAAACAATCACAAATGACATCATAAGTGTGGAGAATTCAAGATATAAATACATACTTCCACTGAATTCTGTTCTTGAGTTTCTTTTCAATGAGACCAATACCTTCCAAGACATTTGTTATGTCATATATCCGCCTTTTTTGCACCTGTGGCAAAGGACAACCTTCTAGTAATTGAACATTATGATACAAAGTTGGATGAATATAAGAAGTTTTAGTCACCTCCAAAGTGTCAGCGGCTTTATTTAGATCAAGAATACCATCTTCAGCGTGCTTGATCAAATTTATGAACTTCTTTGTCAAGAGCCCTGAATTAAAGGACATTGTTTAACTCTTAATAACATACTTGCTCTACGTCGAAAGCTAGACGTGGAGACATTTAGAAAAATAAGCACCTCTTATTCATTAATTTAGAAAAGAGTAAAAAGGAAATGCAAAAGAATAAAAAATTACCGAGGGAGCTGTCATAACGGCAGGGACCAGTTGGTGTCAGATTGTTGCCAGGTGAAGCTGTCAATGTAGAAAAGATTTTTCATCAATTATATTTATTTTTATTTCCTTTTAACCAACTGGTGAGTTGACTGTTTATGCAAATAAAGATAACTCTAATTGCACTGACTCATCCTTTATATTTATACCATTCAATCAGTAAATGATAGAGATCCTGGAATTACAAAACTTGAGACTTGCTAAAACTTAAATTGGTAATGCTTACCAAGATTTGAAGCTGAAGTTTGGGGTCCAGATTTACTATTCTTTGCAAGCCTTGATGTTTTTTGCACCTTTCCCCCTTTTCCTGATACAGGTGTCTGGAGAGGGCTGTTAACTATTTCAGTGTATCCAGGACCAGCTGTCCGCTCATTTGACTCAGCTTCATGATCTGCTGGTTCACTCTTCCGCTTTAATTGCTAATAAACACAATTTAGTTTTTCAAATCCGATGAGCAAAATGTGCAAATAAATTTAGGAATATAAGAAATCAAATAAAGCAGAAACTTCATGGCTGCAATCAAAGATATAAGATTCATTTAAGTTGCTTTGAAAGTCACTGGACACTCAAATGAAAGAAACACTGGATAATAGCCTCTTCCAATAAGCAAGTAATATATAATAACAACCAGACAAATAAGTATTTAAAGCTTTCCCATCTTATCAAATAAGAAGATTCACTAAATATACACATTAAAAATCCAAATAGCTATTCCCTTCTAAAAAAGAAATAAAAAAAAAAAAAAAAAATCTTCAGTATTGCATTTGTTTGAATAGAATCACAACCTTAGCAACAGTTAGCATAAACCGAGTCATCAACAAAGAGAACAATAGTTTAATCTTAATCACAAAAGATTTAAGCTGTAAACTCTCAAAGCTTCCAATATTAACTGACAAAAAGAAAATGTGATGTACACCTACCAACTTTAAGTTTCAGTAGTTGAGAGATTTAAAGGAGCTCCATTTTGGTACAGCAAAAAGGCAGCACAAACAAACAAAAAAAGTATGCACCTTTAAGTAATAGCAACAAACTGTGCAGGACTAAAGGATGAGGTAAAGTTAAAGGAATATGTTTTATTTCCTAAGGTTGCATCCACAGTTGCTTGGATCAGACTTGGTGACATTCATAAAGGTAAGCTCAGCAACTGCCAAATCCAAAACCGTTTTAAAGACAAAGGGGGGAATACATAGGGGTGAAAATCGAGTCAAGCTGCTCATGAGCTACTTGAACTCGACTCGATGTTATCTCGAACTCGACTCGGCATTAGTCGAGTTGAGTTCGAGTAGTTAATCGAGTCGAGTTTGATCACAGTAAAACTCAACTCGATATGTTCGCAAGCATCCAAGCTCAATGGTTAAGTTGATTTAAAGTAATAAGGGTCATATATAATTTAAAAGCTATAAAATTTGCAAATCCACCCCAGTTAGATGAGCTCGAAATCAAGTTCGAACTCAAACTCGATTAAAACTCAATTATACGAACTCAAATTTGAACTTGATTTCCAATTTCAAATACCGAGTTCGAGTTTGAGTTCGAACTTGATTTCCTAGGCATGATCAGACTCGAACTCGGTACTGTAGCAATCAAGTCGAGTTCGATTTACCAAATACTCGACTCGACTCAATTTCACCCCTAGGTATACATAGCACACTGGGATGTAGCAATCATAATGCTATAACAAATTATTAAGCTACAATATATTTTACATGTATTCTTGTAATGCATTCATAGCACGGTGTCATTTATTGTAGATCTATGAAAGGAAAACTTGCTTCAAGCAGGTCAAACAACTTGCAAAATATGTAAACCATAACCTACATCTATAATCAATTTGCCATAGAGATATTGAAGTGAAACAACAATAAGAAGAGAAATTATCATAGAAGAAATCTTCTGATACACCATAAACTTGGGAATATGTTCAAATTAAGTAACTATGCATACCAATTAAACTAAGCCTTACTCCAAACAACAGTGTTCAATTTATCGAAACTGTAATTCCATCTTGTACAATCTTCACATTAATCCATCTCAGGCACACTCATGTATTGCCTAGTGGTGCAACATTCAGTGCCATAAAGGATCTATCTATTCAGATCATTCTAGTCTAGAAAAGTAAAAATAGGCTGTGGGGGTTGATACCCTTTTCTTTAGGTACATGCAGCCATATCTGGTCATAATTCAAAAGACCTCTAGACAAGAATTTCATTTGTCCATTCCATTTTCGTTCATTTTATGAACTTATTCAATGTGTGCATAAAGCATGATAAAGGCCAACATCAATAAGACAAAAATATCAAGTGAATCAAAGTCCTAAATTCTTTTTCCTTTCAATTTATACCTTTCTTGTTTTGTCTCATTCATAAAGTCAAATTTTCATTAACCATGGATTGAAATTATTCCAGATCATCGTCCATTGGTTCATACTAACTACTTCCTTGGAAGCCTCATCACATGAAAAGAAGAAGTATAACAAAAAACTTGCACTACCAATGCACTAATCAAAAGCATGCATATGGCAAATCAATTCAAACAAAGGTGCCTGCCTTGAGAAATTCAGCTTGCTTCCTTCACTCTTCCAATCTTTTACTAGACTAGTTACAGGTTTATCATCCACCATCTTTTGTTGTGGTATTCATCCATATTTGCATTCTTTTCCATGAACTACTAAAATATAACTGCACATGTATTTTGTCAATTTACAACTTCTGCCCTCTAATCCTTATTATGAACCATCCAAGGAAGGAGATTTTCTTATGAAAAAAAATCTTCTATCATCTAGTCAATATCAGTTTCTATATCTAGCACAATCAATCGACATATCCTCTACAAGTTCAAGCAAACTGAAGTAAATCTAACATGGAAGAGCATAAAAAAATACAAAGGTGATAAACAATCTTAATATGATACAGTTCAAACAATACTTGTGACATCAAGAAAAACATAATTAGATTTTGAAATTAAAATTCAATATATGACCTTAGTTAATAAAAAACTTGGGAGAGACACGGAGGATTCCTTGACACAAATATTATCCACACATCAACTGATTTATGGGTTACAAAATATGGGTATGTTTTTATGCTCTACAAAAGTAGTTGGTTGCCTCAATTAGCTCATTAAAATTTTGACATACATTTTGAAGGCCTCAAGAGGTGAATTTTATGGAGATGTGCACTGACAGCATTTTTATCAGTAATTGGAAGTGAAGGAAAACTGCCAGAAGAAAAAGAAAAATCAAAGAAATTAAAGAAGAAAGCTCAAGATATTCTTGGAGAATAAACTATTTCACTTCATTATGAATTTTCAATTGCTTTTTAAGGAATTTCCAGAAACTCTATTTTTATGGGTTCAAAGTGTTCTTTGGGTTTGATTTTCTACTTTCCTTAATGCGTTGTATTGTTTTATTTGATATCTTTTGTAAGCATAGGATAGACTTCTGGTTATCCTTTCATCACTTTGAACTTTACATTGGTTCTTATCAAAACAAATGACTAACTGTCAAGGATACCCATATCAACAATGATACAAGAACAGGGGTAGTGTGCCCAAAACTTAGAAGGTATAGATGGCTCTCTCAAAGAGCAATCATCAATGAATAGGTAATTTGATGAATTGAGTCACCAAGACTGGAGACACACAAGTCAATATGAAAGCTTATGGCCCCATAACTTGAACATGTAGATCGAATTCTTATTTTTTCCATCCGTGCAGCCAGAAGTTTTTATGTTGAGCCCTCATGAAACAATGTGTGCCATGAATTGGCAATCTTGATTAGCATTTTCAGCTTAGATGTCTCAAGTGACAAAGGAATACAACCATTCTCAATTGTTCCAGCTGAAGTCAACTTGTTAAGAACACTGCATGCTTTCCATTTTACAAATACAGAAAAGTATTTGTGTTACTGATTTCTGAATTTCAGCAATTCCTCTGAAACTACACAGATATTTTCCAGTTTGAATACAACTGCAATTCCTTATCTTGACATGTTCATCTTTCTGATCAGAATAACAGTTTCACAAAATTACTATCATCCAAATGAGGATTCAGCTTTTCATATACGATTGCTTGCAAGAAGCTAAAGATAACTCTACAGAATATCCCAAACTAAGCGCCAAAGTTTTATGACAAAGCCGAACTCTTCATTGATAACATATTTTGAAGCATCACGCTTTAGATAGAAACTAGTATACAATAAAAAACACCCTTTTATTCAGAAATACCATCCGATAAAAATGAAACAAAAATAAACTAATAATATCAAGAAGAAATTGCCTGTTTCTTTTGCAACATCAACACATAATCAATGCAATTTAAGGAGAACCTCAATTCCATACAATGCAAAAAAAAAATTGGGACCCCCAGTTCCTTTCAATAGCATCTGATCCTTAACACTAACACTCATCCAGTTTAGCAAGAAGATTTCCATATAAAACAAACAAAGAAGCACAAAAATCAAGTTCACATGGTTAGTGCACGGCTATAAATCTTATCCCTTCTAACAAGCAGCATTTATGATTGACTACAGTTCCCAAAACCCTCGTAAAAACCAAAATATTAGCAGAAACCGGCCAGGGAAATTCCGATTAAGAAAACAGAAAATCACATTCAACTGAAAACAATTAACGGTTAGCCCTATAATTTCAACAAATCTATACCCCAAAGAACTAATTATCATCACCAGTCACACAGAACCCACATCCTAAAACTCATACAAGCAGATCCTCACAAAATCCATCCATCAGAAACCACTAAATCACAATTCTACTAAAGAACACAACCTCAGAAGTTAAAGTAACAAAATTAACCAAATATTGAAATAAAAAGGAAAAAAACCCCAAAAAAGTAAAATTTAACCTCAAAAAACGACTTAAAAAGAGAAGCTTACTGGAGATTTAACTACGATGCCCTCAGATTCTTGATCGGGTCGTCGACGAGGGTCGGCAGCAAAGCGGTGATAATCAGCGGGAACTGAAAACGGCGGCTTCATAGAAGAAAACGGGAGCTGGCGCTTAAACGACTGCTGCATGGAAGTGTCGTTGGGCTGCGTAGAGAAGTTATGCGTTTGTGAATTGGACATGGAAAACTTAAGTCAAATGGAGATTGAATTAATTGGGTAATTATAAAGCAAGGGTTAGGGAAATTGAAAGAAGAACAGATCAAGTGAAATTGGAGATGTAATGAAGTGAAAGTGATTGGATAAAAGGAATCGAAGAATGAAATAGTAGGGGGATCTGGTGTTTGGGAAGAGAGAAAATAAAAAAAGCGGGAGATAGAAAGAGAGAGAAAGTGAGCAGAAAACGAGGGAAAGAGTTGGGGAAGGAGGGAATTTGGTTCGGATATAGATGTGGAGGGAAGCGCTTATAATTAATTCATAAATAATAATTTTTTTTTTTTTTTTTTTTTTTTTTTTTTTTTTTTTTTTTTTTTTTTTTGTCCATTTGTATTTCACGGTGGTTTTGCTTTTACCTTAGCAGATTCCAACCTGTCTTTTTCTTCTTTTTTTTTTTTTTTTTAATAAAAAACCAATTTCATACAAAATAAAAAAAGGATATGTTAATTAATTTATGAGTATATGATAGAAAATAATAAAAGATAAAATATGTTTTGAATTTAATAAATGGTTCAAAATAGAAATTAATGTTATGTATAATTTGAGAATAATTAAAGGTAAAAGTTTTATATTATAGTTAATAAACCAAGAAGGAATATTAAAAAATGTAGATTGAATTGGCATTATTCTCACAATTTCCAACTTTATATCCATTTTAAATATCAAATGCAACCTTGTTTTTTATAAAAATTATAATATTGAAACATATGGGATATAATGATTTTTTTTGTTATAAAGGCAAATTAAATAATTTAATAGTTATAGATCACAAGTATTTTTATTAGATTGATAAAAATAAATTTATTTAAAATAAATCATAACGTTTATAATGTTTAATTTGCAGAGTAAAATCCTTAGTATAAAAAAATAGTTTGGAAAATGATATTGACAAGGGGAAAGATATGATGTAAAAATGGTAGGTACAAAGGAGAAGTGGAGGTGATGAAATAAATAAAGGAAATAAGAGTGGGGGGTTCGAATCGGCGATTCGCGCCTTTTCAGAAGGAGAATAAAGTGGCGATTATTTGGCGGGCATTACTCCACCAACCAAAACCGCCAAACTAAACCAACAGGCAACAGCCAACTTTCTACCACTTTCCTAGGGCAGTGTTTGGACCATTCTACATTACGTTTCTCGCTTTCATGGGCTAGCCCTGGGCTGAGCTGGGCGTTTTTTGGATTCCTACGAGTTTGTTTTTATTTAATTAAAAGTTAGTAACATTTATCTATGATATATAATAACAAAAATCTTCTTTTTATTAAATTTTAAGTATTAAAATAAATGATAAAAAGATAATTTGATAATATTTACTATTTTATAATACTATAAATTTTAATAACTCGTTAACAATTCATTAATGACAGGGGGATTTTTGTTATTTTGAAAACCTAGCGAAATTTTGTCATTAACTCTTTATTTAATTATTTAATTAATAGAATCTTTAATTTTCTACATCAATATGTTATTATCATTATGTTTTTCAAATTTAACAACTTTCGATGCAACAAACTAATTTATGAGTATGTTTTGCAACCAAATTTCATTAAAGTTATCTAAGAGATATTTTCCTCTTTTTAAAATCCGTTTTTTCAATTAAGAAAATTGTTGATGCATGATTTTGACACCAACTAAAAGCACGTGTGAAATGTTGAGTTGACCCAAAAGACATACGTGAATGGTTTGAAAAAATGAAAGTAAATGCAGTGAGAAAGGATTTTTAAAGTGGTTCGGATGCTAAGGAACAAATCCTACGTCCACTGATGTTTATATTTATGATAAGGTCAGGTCGCTTTAGACGACTGACTTTACACTGATGATAAAGATATCGAAGACTGTCTTTTCTATAGAGAGAGAGAGTTTTTTTCAAGAGTAAAATGTGCGAATCCCTTAATGAGAGAGGAGCATCCCATTTTATAGTGGGATGCCTTGAGGTAATGATCACTGAATCTGCAAGTTAGTGGGATGATCCGTGCAAATCCTTGATTAGAGTAATTCACATGATTTGCTGTAGGGATTAGACACGTGGGATCATCACACTCCTTGCTGGCCTGACGTGCACCATTACTCTGACGGAAGCAAGCTGTGGGTGCCACCATGATCACACGAAGCAACTGCGTCAGAATGGCAGTAGGCTATTCCCGAGGTTTGACCTTGCGCAATCAACTGGGCGCCACGTCAGCCCTATGTTCCCAAGCATAACAAAGTCCCCTAGTTTTTAAGGTTTGAGAACCGAACTTTGGAACTAAAAGTCATGCCGCAATTAGATGACTCTTGGAGATTTGGAAATTCTGTAAATCCCGACCTGCCTGAATAGGTCGGGATGACACTTTTTCGGAACGACCTCGCTGTTCATTGTTTGCAGGGGACGAACAACCTAATTTCGTCAGATGTCACTTGTTGTCCTTTTGTCATGGGTGTATTTAATGAGAGTCCCTGCACTGACAGGCGTGCCCTGTGCGTGATAAGGGCCAGCCAGACACATTAAATGTGTTATACGCTGAACACAGTATGCCTTATTAGGACATTAAATGCGTAGTACGTTGGAACGACGCCCTTATCAGAGCATTAAATGTGGATTTGAAAGCAATTAATGCTCGAGAAAGAGAGAATGGCCGTTGTTTGGGCTTTTCAACGGAAGAGATGAAGGTATGACTTTATCTAGTCGTGACGCTCACTCTTCCCTGCTGCTGCGCGACACGTGGTCGTGATCAACGGTGAGAAACCTTTGCGCCCAAACGTCGTTTCGATTCGAGAAACACAAGCGCCGATTCACACGCTATAAAAACCTCGAGTCGTTCTCAAGCAATGTCACCAGGCCCTTTTTTTTTTTTTTTCTTAGAGAGTAAAAGATTTTCAAAAACTTGGATCTCTACCTTTCAAACCAGCGTTTTTCCAGCATTCGAAGCAGAAACTATTCTCATACTCCGAGGGTAAGAGCTTTTCCCTGTCTTGTTTCGTTATTTTCCATGGTTGAATGGCGTCTGTCTTCCGGAGCCTATTGGAGACGAGATGCTTGGTCGGGTCTGAGCCATGAATGGCGGCTTGAATTATGTCGTTAGGGTTTCCTTTGGAATTTAGGGGGTTTGTTTCCCCCACATCATCGTACGAAATAGCGTATGGCGGCTAAATGACCTTTCTGCTTGTCGCTTTTGCAGACTAGCAAAATGGACCCTCAACAACCAGATCCGAACAGGGAACCAGATCCGAACAGGAACCAGTTCGTCCCCACACGATGCTCAAACATCCCTATCGAGGTTTCTCGGTGCTTACGGGGAAGACTCGAGAGGGTAATAAAGCAGTACGCTATCGAGGTGGATGCTTCCTCGACGTAGCGCACTCACGCGGTACCCGTTAAGTGGTCTAGCCGGGTCTCTGAGGGATCATCAAGGGTGGGGACTGATCCCCTTCCACCCTTTTATCAGGTCACTTTTGGACCACTTCGGGGTTGCGTGATGCAATTGACCCCAAACGCGTACGTCATTGCTGTGCAATGTACATCGCGTGCCAAGAGAACGGACTAGGCAAGCTATCCGGATGGAGGTTGGCTGCTCGTATTATTGAAGAAGAGTAAGAACAAGGACTCTTACTACTTGTCCAGGCGACCTACTATCGTCGATGGGATACACAGCTATCCGAGTAACACGGGAGCCTATGAAACGAAGTTTTTCTTCTTTCGTTATGACGGCCATTGCCCTTCCAGTATCCGAGTAGGCCTCTTTCTTTTATTATTTTATTTTAAACTCAAAATGTGCTTTGCTAACGACCTGTGCCTTTTCGGCAGTTAACAAAACGCCGACCTAGGGCTGCCTTGATAGAAGTAGGATCCTACATTTTTGGATCCCTACCCGAGGACAAGCCAACGCGAAGAAACTCGTGACGACCGCGAGTTTGCGAAAATACGGTTTCTTTAACGCAAACGCGTCGTTAGAGGCCCCATTTGTAAGTCCTGCTAATGATCTCTTTCTGGTCGTGTAAAGTGATATTTGGCTAATAGCTTTGCTGCAGCGACCACGCCTCCGAAGGAGTTAGAGCAGCCGCGACGAAGTAGGTCACTTTTCCTTGAATAAAGAAAGCCAAAGCAGTCGAAGCTGCTTCGACAGTCCCACCGGCTGAAGGTGCAACCGGGCCCATCGCGCGACCTTCCGAGACTCCTCAAGCGCAGTCATCAGAGGACGTACCAACAAAAAACGAAGGCTTCCGAGCCATCTCCTGCTCAGTCGAGGCTGAAGACGACGGCCCAGCGAAGAAGAGGAAATAGATTCAGGTCGAAGAATCAGAGACCGAATTGAAGGCGACCAATCAAAGAGGTCGCGATGGATGCGAGTAAGTCAGGCAAGGCACCTATGGCGACACGACGGTGCTGAGGCTGCGAAGAAGGACACTTCAGTGCTGGACTCATTGGGGAACCTGCCGGAGTACCTGCAGCCAGTGGTATACGCCCTATTGGAATGCGGACTCTTGGAACTTTTGAGCAGTTCGCAAGTTCCAACGACGTGGACCTAATATCCACATCGGTCAACACTTGAGCAAGGTGAACGAATTGTCCTGGTGAGGACTTCCCTTACTTCTTTTGATTAGCTAACTCTTCTTTCTTTGTTCGCAGGCTCTTCTTTCCATGCGAATGTCCATGGAAAAGGTCTAACTGGGAGCTGCGAAGGGAGTGTTGCTCTAAAGGAAGAGAACGCAGCGCTTAAGCGAAGCCTAGAAGTTGGCAAAACAGAGAGAAACCTGTCTTTGAGTCGGCGAACAGTACCTGAACGAAAGAGACATGGCTCTTCGTACGGTGGACTTCCAGAAAGCGCAGCTCGAGAGGCAGGGGAGGAAGTAAAGGAGCTACAAAGGACCATAGCTAGACTTTCCAAGGAGGCCGGGGAGAAGGACCAGGAGCTCAAAGCGACCTCTCTGCAAGTCTTACGAACGAACAAGAGAGGGACACCTCCGAGAAGGAAGGCAAGCCCTCGAAGTTGAACTTCAGGAAAGTCAAGAAAAGTTGCTTCCAACGCAAGAGATGCAGGATCAGGCAGCGCGAGGTCGAGGAGAAGGCTGCCGAATGGGCAATCGACTCTATTTATGCCTTGCGATCAAAGAATCTGCGACTTGACTTGTCCGACCTCCGGAAGACTGGCAAGATACACTTATGTCCATGGCGCGGGAGGATGATGAAGCGGCGGCTTCCGAGCAGGAGGTTCGGGACACGC